GTGACTGTACAAATAAGACTAAATGTGCAATAAAATTCTTAAATAAGACAATAAGTCAGTTCAGAGTTACTCAAAGTGTTTGTGTCTTGATATCTCAACCATTTTTTAACAAAAAAACTTAAACACTGATATTTACCCCTAAACCTGAATATTTTTTTTTAATTTCAGTGGAAGATGAGGAAAATATCTGAGTCGAAACATGTTATACACACACACACACACACACAGAAAGTAGAGGTTATATACAAAACTTTTCAAGTAGTTTCATGCTGTTCTATCTCAGCTAATTGTCCTTTTCAATATTTTACCTTTTATATTCATGCAAATGTTTGCCCATTCTGGCTTGTTCCTAAATTCAGTCCTCCCCTGTTGATAATATCTAGATGCAGTAAAACCTGATGCTTTTGTTTTAGGGATGATCTATCTTTATTCAAAAGCTGGTATTTCACTCATATAGTGTTTCATGTTGATAAAACAATATATTATGCCAAAAATACTAGTTTTTTATCCTAAAAATATTTTTCCATTGCCCATAAGGTCAAACTAGTGTTGGAGATGCAACAAACATCTGCAAGACTGAACAGTGAGACAGTTGATAGGAGCTGCTATGAGAATTGACCTGAAATCAGCCTATTTACAGCTCCATATGGCTAAAAAATTATAGAAATGCCAGCTGGTAGACTAGAAAAGTAGAACCTACTGTCTGACCAGAATGGCACTTGGATTTGCAAGGCAACCATCCTAAAAAAAACAATTGGGAAGAGATGAATAAAATTTGTATATTGATGATATGATAAATTAGACAATGGTAATGGCAGAAGTCACCTTAGAAATTATGATTTGACTACAGAATAATTAAAATCATTGGAATCAGGAGTGGTACTAGGATTTAAATTGAGAAATATGATTGTAGTAACCTTTGGAAGAGGAACAAGATCCTGCAGCTGAGTGATGTTGTTAGTAAGTTGTTTTTAGCATGTGGAAGATAGGTACTAACCTGTTTTTGGTTGGCTATGAATTGCAATAGATGGAATAGTTTGGGATGACAAGGAGGATGAAGGAATAGTCAACATAAAAATGTTGTAGAAGAGGTGAAATGGAATAACCCCATAAAAGGAAGATGTTACATACCAAAAGTGAAAAGGGGGTGGTTGTGTGGTGTGAAGCAAGCAGCATAGCAATGGGTGTCATTCTGGAGATATAGGGTATCAAGTCAGAAAATGTAGTTTCACTAAGAAAGAAGTGATGCTGTCCATATCAAAGCAGCAACAAAGAGTCTTAATTTGACTTTGAAGAAGAGGGGTTTACAAACATCAAAGTTAAAACTGAGCATGAATTAAAGGGAATGTAGAGATGCTCATCAAACATTATTTAGGGGTTCTAGGGGAGCTAATTTTCAAATTTTAAATGAGAGGTTGCCATTATGGGCTGTCTTGAGAACAGAGACCTGGAGGAACTGTATGGTATGTGTCATATGGGGTAGGTGGGACCTTATTTCTAGAGAGGAAGTTGCATGCCACTAGAAAGGCTGTCCACAAACTGCTGAGAGTATGAATGATGCCAATTGATCAATCTTGCACTGAATGTGCACAATGTAGAAATTCATATTGCAAATAATTGAAAAAGTTTGATTAGCAGTTCATCCAATGTTTTAACAGTGTGTCTTTCAATGATCATTTGTGGTTCTGGGCAAGTAGGGATATAGCAAGAAATTAGAATACACATGGGAGACTTGGTCGTAGTGGTGACCAAGGCTCCTATGTTTTTTGGAGGAAGAGGTTCAGTAGATGAAGTGTTGATGACCAGTGATACAAGAATTGCTGGACAGGTGGAAAGTTAAGAGTTATTTTAGAGCTGCATATAAACTGAATAGAAATAGACACCACAGAATGATTAAGGCTACAATCAAAAGTAACCCCATTTTGTTTGCTCAAAGTAGTCTTGATATAACATATCACTCAGGTTAGATGATAGTGATGCAAAGAGCAGTATTTAGATACAAGTGGAGCGGTAAGGCATGTATCTGTCAAAGTTGGAGAAGTATTGCAAAGGAATAGGAATGAAGTCACCAATCTCTGAATAATGTTAGTGAACTGAATTCTCAAACACATCTAATACAGAAGTTAGTTTGTCTGATGAGGAACAAAAAGTGGCTCTGGTTGAAATCTCCATGAAGACCACAAAGAGAAAGATACCTTCTTTGTTGATTACAAGGACTGTGATGGAATAAAAAAAAAATCTGTAAGTAGAAAATTTCATTTAATTAAAGCTATATAAATTGATCTTTAAGATGAGAGGGTGTGTAATGAAGCATTGAACTTATGCCCCTCTACCTCTGAAGAAACTAGAGAGGTAATCTTGGTGGATTATATATCAGGTTTTGCAAATGAAAACTGGAAGTAGGACAGTTAGGAAAAATAAAAGCATAGCTGTGCCAGGAAGACTGGCCTAATGTTATTTTCAGTTTTCGTTTTTCTGTTCGAGTCTGGTGGTTTGTTGTGCATGTACATATATTGCTGGTTAAAACATTCTAGATTGTTCTGCATTACTAAGTTGCAGGATTACAGTGGTAAGTTTTAGTTTTATTAATCACATTTTGATTACGTGAAACCATGTTGATTATTGATATAAACTAAAATTAGGGCTTGTTATACATTTTTGTTCAATGGTGAGCATTGATGAACATTTTTTTTTTTTTTTTTTTTTTTAATGAAACACTGAAATTGATGGTTTTTCAATCAAAAGTTTTTTTGTTCATTTGAAAGTTTGAAATTACAATAATATTGGAATTAATATAAGTTCAAAACTTGGAACAGTGTGACCAGAATGGAACAGCCTCTGTAATTAGTGTATATTATGAAGAGTTTTTCTTTTTTTTATGTAAAAGAGAAGAATAATTCTGCTTTTTATTTTTCACATACTTAGTTGAAATATGACTGCTTTTAAAAAAATATCAATCAACATCCATACCAAATATTTTTTTAGGGGGGTGATGCAGGAAGAGAACTTATTTCCATTTGCTAAATTTGTGTATATATTGCTAGCTATGGAGAAATTCTACTTCAGGTTCAGGTCTGTTGGATTTTTTACATAACACATGTACTGCCAGTTAATAAATACCCTCCAACTACCAATTTTGATGACTAGCTATCACTCTAGTGTAGAAGATCAGCAAAAGAAATTGATAGTCTATGTACCATAATATAAATGCTACTATTAAACATAGTTCTGGAAAACCTTTTAATCTTTTCAATTTTTTATTATTGGATCCATGGGAGGGCTTATTTTTCATATAATCTATATTTAAATACAACTGCTACTTCTGATCTGATCAGACTATTGACATATTTTGATTTCTATTTGAATTTTCTTAAGTGTTGCTCAAATGAAGCTTAGCTTTTCTTTTTGAACTAGCAGAAGCACCTAGCTTTGCTTAGGTTTTTAAATACCTAAAGTGAATACAATCATTACATTTTGTTGTGACTCTATGATTGGGACACCCACATAGATGGTGTGTGATTTTATCTTCCAGTAGTAAAGTCTAGAAGATACAGTCTTCAAAGTAGTTGACCACTTGACTCAAAAGAGAATAAAAAAAAATATAAATATATGAAAACTTTCTGGCTCAAATGACAACAAACTGGACATTGAGGATTTTTCATTGCTGGTCACAGTTGGGATTGAATGGAATTCTGCACAGTCTGTTAATAGGAACAGATTGTCCTCAGAGTAGTCCTGATGTTGTCCATTGTGATGTTAAGATATGCAGGAGTTGGTAGGAGGAAGAGCTAATCTGTTAGACTGACATGGCAGAAGTCCCAAGTGTCACCTACCTACACACCCAGTAAATCCCTGAAATAAACACCTAAATTTATTAGAAGCAGGGTTCAAGTCCTGATTTCACACTGTGGTATTTATTTTTACCTTTCATCCCTTTGTGAACTTACAGTGGGCTTTTCCTGATTTGTACACCAACATGGACAAGATGCAATATGTGCTTGTCATTAGCCAGTTGGTTGAAAGTTAGTTAAAGAGTCCTGTTATGTTTAGATTGTATCAATTGATTAAAAAAATGCTGGCATTCTTCAGTTGATTCTAACAGAATTTTTGCATCCAAGCAATTACGAGAATAGTTTTATCTTGCCTTGATAAAAATTTACAAAGCCTTATATATAAGGACCAGAAATAATTCTATTTTATGATATATTTTTTTTAATTTCAAAGGCAAAAAATCCTTTTTTTAAAAATATTGCACTAATGTACATAGTATGTATGAATTCTTTTTAATCAAGAATATATTTTCAATGTTAATTGCATCATTTATTTCTATACATGCCTCTCCTAAATGCAAAGTTTTCCAAGCTGTTAACCACTTGGCCACTAGCACCCTTTTTTTTTTTTTATATAATAGGAATAAGTTTTCATATGAGTACCTCCAATTAAATTGGCTCTGATTATGTGATGGTATCACATTTTGCAATTTGACTAGTAATAGCAGTTTTGACCTGTGATAGCACCCTAGTGTCCTTGGAGGTTAGTTTCAACTATTCATTCTCAAGTTATCCTTGTAGACTAATTTTTAACTGACAGGGTCTATCTCTTTGGTCACCCACAAGATGAATACAAACCAACAATTGCCAGCTTTATAGTAATAGATTACTCTATTCTTTATATTGTTAAGCCAATATTAGCCTGTAAACGCCCACCATCCCATTTGAGGGATGGGCATTGATATGCTACAGGTAGAAACCTATAGTTAATTCTGAATCTATTTTAATATTTATAATTAATATCAGATTTTATGGTGGACATAAAAAGCAGATGCAGCTGTCCCTGATTGGTAATGACTAATTTTTTTCTTTCTCTTTCATGGTAGACAATGTTTGGTGTGAAAAATTTCCTATGGAACATCCCCCCCTCCCCCACCAAAAAAAAAAATTCATTCCAAACATTTGTAACAATGCCTTTAATTTATTTTAAAATTCTTTTATCTTTTCTAGATACCTTTTCCACAATGGGACGAAGAGGGATGCCTGGACGTCGCAGGCATGTTTTACAATTGGATGAGAATACAAAAACAAGTTATTTAAGTAAGTATTTGATTTTTTTAATTAGGTTTTAATTTGAAAATCATTTTTTTTTTTTTTTTTTATATAGAAACTGGCAATAATTTTTATAGCATCATTTAAAATGCAATGTTAGGAAATTCTTATACTGAAGCTTTTCTATGGTTAGGTTGATTGAAAGAGAAAAATACTGATTTTGTTTTGTAAAAATGTCAGGGTTAAGTAAGAAAAATTTGATTCAGATGTAAAATGTTATCAGGAAGGGAAGTTGGGTGTTGGACAAATGTGACACTGTAAGAATGCTAATAATTTGAAGAGATAAAAGGCTTAAATTAAATCAAAAGTGAACACATGCATACCAGAAACAGAAGAAAATATACTTTTATTTATTTTCCTCATTTCATGAATAAAGGGCCTCGCTAGAAGATAATGCTGAAATCCACTTGGACATCTGGTTAAAGTGAGGTGCAAGGGACGATGTGGAGGGGAGTGCGGTGATATCCGTGAATCGACTAAGGCTGGCATTTCTGGACTTGAGACCATCAAGCTAGTTACAGATAATAATTTTATGGCTATAAGTAGAAGAGAGTAAGGAAATGATTCTATGTCACTTGTTGATAGGAGTGGAGGTTGTGTGTATCGCTAAAGAAATAAGATCTTGTTGGATACAATGCAGAATTCGAATACCAAAGAATTCGGTCAATTGGTAAAATAACAGTTTGGTCAAGTCTCCCCCAAAGACAAGGAAAGAATTATAATTATCCAAGATGAGAAATCTGGAAAATATCAAACTTTTTATGACAAAAGGCAAGTGAATTTTAATTAACGAACTTGTGCTGGTCATGCCACCCAGTCGAGGGACCTCGATTGGTGAATGAGTTGGGAAAACAAACTATGCCCATTGTGGGTAGTTCGTATAAGGTACAAATAAGAGGAGGGAGTAAGTGGGGCAGGTTGATGCCCTGCTACCACTACTTTCTGGAGGAGAGGTTTCCCAAATTTGGACATGCAAATTGCTTCCCAGAACACTGTCAGCAGAGAGTTCTGATTGGATATTTGGAAAATACTGGAACCCCAGATTGTGTTGGACCCCACCCCAGCATTGGGCGAGAATCAATAAAAAGATCAGATCAGAGAGGAACAGGTGAGTAGCGGCTGAGGCAGAGACACATTTTCATTACACCAGGAAGAGTCGACCGCTTTGTCGATTTCCATGTGACTTTCTGCCACTCCCGACTCATGCCTTGTTCCAGACTATTAGATGATTGAACAACTTGCCCTAACAAAATTGCAAAGTGGAGGAATTGGAAGTCTTTATATAATGCCGGCAAGAGAGAGAGGGAGATGAGTGCTTTGTCGGCATTCTCTGAGTTAAAGTTTGAAACCCTGACTCCAACTTGGAATGAGAAACAAAATGTCACAAAATTAGACTACGTGGGAATGGTTGTTAGCCTGTATGATTGTAGATTCTTATATGAAAAAGTGTTCTTGTATAAAGCTCAGTTATATAAACCTTGTTGATCTACACAACTTTCTTTTCCTTTTTTTTGTCTTATGACATCGTCCTGCCTGAATGACAGCAATCCAGCGATATCTGGTGACAATTCGATCCTTGCCTGCCTTGTGATCAAAACAAATACAATGTGGGACAGGGAGATCGAAGTGACTAATTCCAGGGTTAGCCACAAGATTCAATCATGGACACAATGGTGACTGAGGACGAGACAGTGTTGTCATGTAGTGCAGAGACAAGAACGCTCCACAGCATTATACAAATACAGGAATTTTTTATGGAATATTTAACTTAGTGATTTTTCTGTTTTTAAAGTTATCAATTTCTTTGTCTTAATAATTAATTTGATTATACCACACACATTACATTACAAAGCTTAGTTTATAGATTTGTAATTGTGTTAATGACATTGTTTTTTTTTTAACATTATTAGTTCAAATCTCTTATTTTCTACAGCTCAAACAGGATGTTATAGACCTGATGATATGTTTGTTGAGAGCAAAAACTCTGTTAAAAGTAAGTACATGGAAATAAATTTTTACATTGTTCCAATTTTATATTAAATGTGCATTAATGTTGAAAGAATACATTTCTTATTCACAAAAAGGAATTAAAATATACTAATTTTATCAGCTTGTACTTATTAAATTAAGTACTTATTTTTTTATTATGAGTTTTCTAAATTAAAAATTTCCATAGGGGAAAGAAGATTACATCTCTGGAAGAATGAAAAGCTAAAAAGGGGTTATGATGTATAGTAAAACTATTTATATAAAAAAATATCATTCATGCATATAAAAATCTTCCAAAAGCAAAAACTGTTTTTAGAAGAAGATTAATTTACAGAAATATTTGATACATTTTGTTTGGATTTTTGAAACAAGACATTATCAGTAATAAACATTGATCTTACTCAGACTACTGGTTGTTATAGTCACATTTTGGGATTTGTACCATCTAACCTTCTGGTGTTTGTCATAGGTTGGTAACCTTTTGTGAATTTGAACTAAACCCTTTATTTAACACATGGAGGTAATGTTCTCGTTCTGCTGTCCAAGCTAAAGGATATTTATTGGAAAAAGAAATAAACACAATATATCATTTTTACTCAAAATATGTGTGCTTACTTTCCTGATATGGTAACAATAAAGAAAATGAAACAAAAAGTAAAGGAGAAAAAAAAGGAATTGATTGCTTCATGTTTATGATTTAAAGAAAAAAATCTTTATTCTGACAATTCACAATAAAACTTCAAATTTAAAAATAATTACAATAGAATCAATGCAGATTTTAAAGCAATCAAAAAATTAAGTTAATTGCACAAATTTATTATTGTGCTGAAGATTTTTAGACCATTAATAATGTTATACTAAATTATTTTTTAATTTTATGGGTTTTTCTTTATATAGGATTAATACAAATATAAAATTTATCACTTGGTTTTATATATAATATATATATATATATATATATATATATATATATAAAACAGTATTTAGAAAACTATTCTTCATAAATTTGGAAACTACCTGTCTCTTGTTTCATATACATGTGTAAATGTACCAATGTCAATAAAGTCCAGTCTGATGAAATCCTAATGGATGAAATGCGGCACAAAAAATGCACATACTTGTGTTATACAGCTCTTTCAAAATAAAAGAAAATAATTTGAAACATTCACAGAAATATCATCATTTAGACAAAACATTGGTAATATACTCATAGGTACCAATAGCCCAATTCTGGGACTTTACTAAAATGTTTTTTACATACCTTAGAATTTCTCTTTCAAATATTTATTCTGCTCTTTTCAGAACTGATACACACAAAACAGGGTAATCTAAGTAATAAACAATCTTAAATAAGGTTCTTAATAAGCCAAATGCATTTTCTTTGAACATGCAGTTTGTTTCTTGTCAAATCTTATCTTCTGTTGGATTGGAATAATCAATATTTGGCTGAATCTTGCCTGCTTTTTCAAACCCAGAAAGAAGGTTCCTCTTGTTGGCGAATTTGTTTTTTTTTTTTTTTTCACATTCTTCTTTTCTATCTCGGTGCTACAGCTGCTTTAAATCTATCTTCATAAATTTGGATGTACAAAGCAAGCAGTGATTTGGAGGCACTGAAAGATCAACTTAGATATCTGAAGGTTCTTTTAGGTATCAAGATTAACATCAGTAGAAGTAAATCTCATCTGGAAGCTGCTCTTTGCAACTACTTGCCAACAGGAAAATCAGTTGATTCATCTCCACCTCTAAGACAAAGGATAAAAGAAGAAAAGGCACTCAGTGATTTTAAGTATTTAAACACTTGTAGTAATGATGAAGAAGGATCACCTCAGGTGACCTTCAGTTCTGATACCAAGGCCAATGCGTTGCAGTATATTATGATTCCAACTTTTACATTGGCCAAGTCATTGATATTGCATCTCCATTCAGTGTTGGGATGAAGTTTTTAGCTCCAACAAAGAGAAGAAATTATTATTTCTGATAACCTTTGGCAGATGATATTGCAAAGTGGAATCAACATTTGTCTTTAGATGGGACTTTGATGTAATGTCAGTTTCAAGTGTACAAAAATTCTCTTGTTATATTTTGAAATTATTGAACTTTTTCCAAGAAAATAAAGGAAAAGTAATTAGGTGTTATTATTTTTACATCATATACAGATTAATTTTTAATCAATTTTTCTTAAAAGATAACATCTTTTATGACGAAGTATTTTTTTTTTTAATTTATTATTCTTTTTACTATTGTTCACGTAATACAAGGCCTACATACCATTCAATCGGGGATGTTGTAACAGCATATAGGGCAGGAACAAAGGTTGCATATTATGATGATATGTAGGATAGATAAATGTTGATCCTTGACTTGAAGGGTTTAAGATTGTAATGATCAAGGAAGCATCCCCTCAAGTGTCTATTCCACGTTTACAATTTTGGGGAAGAAGTTGAGTGGAACTTACTTCCTTTCCAATAGAATATGAAGGTAATGGGGATGAGTTGATGTGGTGTATACGGCATTCTTCAAAACTTCCACCATTTTGCCAACCTTATCAGAGAACAATTTTTCACAGTTTCCCCACACAGTTTTTTTCTTTCAATGTCTCCTTTAACTCCTACAGTAAGTTTAGTCTTCTGTATAAACTATTTGTCCCTTCTAATGATTGTTAACAAAAATACCTTCCTTATCTCAAGAAACTGTAGCTATGACCTTTCTTGCTGATTTTGGGATCTTCACTTTCTTTTTGTCATAAATGTTACAAGTGCTGTTACTGCATTGACTGTTGTTTGATCAGTAGTACATGGTCTGACTGTTTCATCAACATTGTCAAAAAATGATCACCAAATTGTTAATAATGTTATAAAATGAACTTTAAAGTATTCACTTGCAAATTGTCTCTGCTTGGCCATCAAATATTTTTGTAGCTACTTGCTGACAAATTCTGTGTATCCAACTGCTCATGAATCTTAACCAACTTTCATTGCCTTGATTGATCTGTAGTTTCTCAGTAAATCTTCTGGCTGAGGTTTGTCATTTGGCTCAAATCAAGTCATGAACATTATCAACAATTTCAGTTTATTCCATTGAAGTCTTCCCCAACCTGTCCTGCATCTTGGATTTCAGAATCTACATGCTAGAAGTTGGCACACCACAATTAAGTATGATAGTACTTGTCTTTCAATGTTTGTGTCATATGATCATGGATTCTATTAATCATTTTCTTCTGCAGAAGCAGATTTCATGATGGCATAGATTTGAACACTTATTCCACACTCCCTATTTCAACAATGATCTAAAACCAGTTAAAAAAAAAAAAAAGGTGTAAATCCTGCAAATTCACACTTTATACTGAAAAAAAAACTCTACAATAACAAAATAATGTTTATATAGGTCCAAGAACTTTTCAGCATCTCCTCAGAAATATGTTTAACCAATATTTTCCAACAAAAAACATTTTTGCTTTTAGAACATTAGTCTGAGTAAGTCAGTATCATAATAAAAACATGTTGATACTAATTTTCATAAATGAATGAGCATGGCCTGTTTCATTATCAACAACTTTGGCCATAACAGGAAGCAGAGAAATGAAACCATTACAATCCACTATCCCTTTTTACACAATGGCTACACACACACAAATGATGGTAGTAATACAATAGAAGCCATGGGCCTACATTTATTTATTGACTAGCAGTAGAGCCCGGCGTTGCCCAGGGATGTAACAGTAAGAGTTGGGGACGGTTGTTGCTTTGAAAGACGTGCTTTGTAAGTCGACAGGAACTAAGTTTCTACAAAACATTGAAACGCAATCCACACAAAGTTTAAGCAGACATCATGCAGGCCCAAGTATTCGAAGGTATCGAAGGAAGTAATGGAAAGCCGTTGTAGCATCAGTCATTTGCCATTACTAAGACATCTGTGAGTAAAAGCTGGCAGCAGTTACTGCTTTAACCAATTGGACCGTTAAGTATTATTGGAAGCACTTGTGTTAAGTAGTCAAGAAACCACCAACATACATAGGGATTGAAGGGAAAATGTGCCGTGAGGGAGCCATAGACATAAAGTATGTGCCGTGCGCAATCACAAATAAACCACTTGTCTAAATAAAAGACGCGTCTTATGCCCAAAAGACGGTGCTGCCACGACCACAAAGCAGAACCGTAAAACCGAGAGAAGAGCAAACAGTGACGGGGTGTCATGGTAAGAAAATTTCTGTGATATAACTTCCTTTATTCTGATCTGTCACTATCTACATCGCAGCTGAGAGCTCTTAAAACCACAACGGGGGTAGCTGTAAGGTCGAGCATCATAATTGCAATGGAGAAGTGCCATCTGTTCAGTCACAGTCAACATCATGCTGAGAGCTCATGGAACCGGACTGGGGTTGCCATATGGCCGAGTGCCTCAATTGCAATGGAGAAGTGCCTTCTGTTCAGTCGCAGTCAACATCACAGCTGAGAGCTTTAGGAAACCGACCGGGGCCACCGTACTTGACGTGTGTTTTTAGGTTTTTTTACATTAAAAACAAAACAATAGAGCCGTATGGCTGACATGTTTCACCCATGGCAGCCGTAAAGTGTATATGGAAGCAGGAGCCTGAATTTCGTAGACGCACTCAACTTTTGTGACAATTAAACGAACTCCGAAGCTTCTCAAGTGTGAATGTGCTTGTATGCACTGGTACGAACTGCAGGTGCTCCAATCAACTGTTAATGAAACTGGAACTTTAGTGGAGCAATCATGTCTAATGCCAGTGTTCATGTGTCTAGCAGCTTGTGTTGCAACTGAATATGGTGAGGTTATCATAGTGTACAAACAAATGTGATGATGGCGGGTGAAGGTATGAAAGTCAGAAGGCAGCAAAAGAGCTGGATAACCTTTACAAAGATGTCTTAGTAATGGCAAGTGGAGACTACGACGACCTAACGTTAAAACCAATATGACAAACAAAAAAGTACCGGGTGGGGGGGGCACAGTATAAACGCGTCCAAGGCAAGAGTTAGACCATAC